GGATAATAGTAGGGGAAACGCTTGTGTGTGTGGTGCACAGCCACACAATAAAAGACAGCACACCACACACAAACAGATTTCTCTCATGAACATTCAGATGGAATCTTGTGAGACTTCTTGAAACACGTGAGTTCAGAATAAACGGACATGGCAGACGAGGAATAAGCAATGGTGATAGTTTGTGGACTATTTTTAACAGAGAAAAACCAAAACAAAAAGATGTCTCAGACATCCACTGCACTTTCTGATGCTCCATGGCAAGTTTTTTTCTTTTTTTGTCTTCTGCATTTCAGATTCTCCATGTTTCGTGTTTTCATGTCACCTCACTTTCTGARTGGCTACACGTCACATTCAACAGGCTGCATGCTCATTTGTCTTCGGAGAAACATTATATACGCTGCGATATCGGGCCAAGACAATCCAATATGTTGTTTATRCCCGATTTGCAATRGGAGTGGTCCCGATGTCCTTCCCAGCTGACTAGATCACTCTTCACACCACATGGTAGGAATATCTCCTAATATTATATTTACTAGAGCCATAATTATAATCGGGGCGTCCTTAAGATTGTAGGGCAAAATCGGGTCAAAAATCAGCACATTTATCTTGCCGTATGAATTTGACATATTAAACATTAAATATTAAACATAAAAAGCAACACTGACCCTTGTGGTTTTTTATTTAAACCTACCTCCAAATCTTTGAAGTCATCCAYCAGACAGTTTTTCTCTGCAATTGATTCCAAGTGACCCAGAGCTGCTCTTGTGTTCTGTTCACCACAAACACAAAATATAGAATTTTGATTGTTGACAACAAGCTGGGGACACAAAAATGTGTGGAAAACACAAGTTTTTACTTGGAATCTCAATAAATTGGTACTTATGACACATAGTTAGGCATGTTGCGTATTTCAGTAACTATGAATAAGTTGTGACATTTCTGCAAATTGGGCGTGGATGTCATGAAGTGGAAGGGCAGCCAACCTAGAACAGCCACCGCTTCACTTGAGTATCTCACATGTGTGGATTAAATGACAATGACAATACATGGAACACATTTAAATTGGGTTTAAATTTATATTTGGCAATTTATTCTCAATATGTCTTGTCTCAGTCATGTTTTAAATTGACTTTTTTTTTCATCCAATCATACACAATTTGTTTTCACAGGTCACCTCTCTAAGTTTTCTCACATATATGGACACATAAAAACTAAGGTTTGACATGCCCAAAAGTGACTGAATATTCTGAGTGAAAACTTGTTGTACAGTTTTTTTAGTTACTGTGAATTAGTGAGGCACTGCGACTCGTGGAAACTTTATACTTTWTATTCCAAAATTACAACTAGTTTCTGTAAGTTCTGAGACTGAACTGTTTTAATAAACAATAAGTCCCCTGTCAAGTTGCCTTAAGCCTCCCTGGTAAGGTCTATTCAGGGGTCCTGGAGAGGAGGGTCCGTCGGATAGTCGAACCTTGGATTCAGGAAGAGCAGT